TCACCAGCCCCTGCTCTTTGGTTTTTTAAAGATTTCGGTAAAATCATAAAATTACCCTTTCTGATCACATTATGTGTACAGTTCAGTGTTGTCGCACTCACAACATTGTGCAGGCATCACTACTGGTTTGTTTGGTTTTTGAGATGGGCTCTCTCTATGTAGCGTATGCTGGCCTTGAACTTGAGGTCATCCTGCCTCAGCCCTGAGTGCTGGGATTCTAGGTGGGTGCCACCATTATCATTTAAACAGATTTTTACCACTCCAGAGAAAAACTCTATACCTATTAAGCAAAGATTCCTAATTTCTCCCTCTTCTTCCTGCTCTGGGTAATGACTAATTTATTTCAGTCTCTGTGAGCTTGCCCCTTCTGGCTGCTTTCTATGAGTAAAGTCATGTTTCATTTTACTTTTCTGGTCCAACTGTGACTGGCTTATTTCAGTGAGCATAACGTTTTCTGCTCATCCCTGTTATAGCAGATTATCACAGCTGCATCCCTTTTCACGGCTCAGTACTACTCCATGGCACGGATGTGCCACATTTCATTTATCCACTCATCTTCTGAAGCACTCTTAGGTTGTTTATTCCTGGGATGTAAAGTGAGATTTTGAAAACAATCTGTGAGCTTCTAACCAAAATAAAACCCAATGAAAATTGTATAAAAAGTATGAGGTGGTCAGTATTTCATATCAAAGATCTTTTGATTTATTATACCAATTATAAAAAAGCAAAGCACACTCATAATTCATGATAATGGAAAAACTTAGGCAAATAGGCCAACCAGCCTGAAGTTATGAATGTTTGAAGAGCTCTATTTGAGACAAGTTTAAAAAAATATAATGTGTCCTGCTGGGTATGGTCGTAAATGTCTGTAATTCCAGCATTAGGAGCCCATGGCAGGAGGATCCCCATGACTTCAAGGCCAGCCTGTGCTACATAATGAGACTCTGTCTCAAACAAACAAACAAACGAATGAACAAACCAGTATCATGCTGTTTCTTTTGATTCAGCAAAATGTTCGCTCTTCACGTTTCTAGGCATCAGCCTCAAGCACAGGTCAGGCTGCCCCCTTCAAGAGGCTGGTGTGTGTGTGCTGTGTGCACACACGTGTCTTTACACTTTCCCCTTTGGGACTCAGCACCATGGCACCCGTTATTCCCAAGTGAACCAGGCGTTTCTGTTAGCAAAGGGAATACACATTGATGGTTGCTGGGAGGGTCCACTTGTGTTGTATTTTAAAAGATTCCCTAAGTGTGAGGTGATTGAATTGTGTGGTCACCTGCTTTCACGAGGCGCACAGCACACTCCCCAGGGGACACGCCATGCAGGTCGCCCTCGGGCCCAATGCACATGGTGGCCGCCACAGGTTTCCCGGATGTTTTCAAGGCCTCCACTGCCCACACAGCTTCCTCGACGTGTTCGAAATACTGCAATGGGTCAGGGGAGAGCACTTTCATTGCACTTCCCACGACACCCTGAGAGCACTTCCTGTACTGTTCAGTTGAACTGTGGAAAAGGGAGGCCAATTTGTCATTGTGCGCTGCAGCCCAGAGGCACAGGTGAACTCTCATAGATGAACTGCAGCACACTTAGGAGAATCAAATTGTCAAAATTATTTAAAAAGGTATTATTGTTGATTGGTGCCCGCCCCCTAGCGATCATAGAGAAAGCTGTCCTGCCTTCGACTGTGGCATGGTTTACCTCTGCGATGAGGAAGTCCACATTCTTCTTCAGAAAGACCTTTAACTGCTGCTGGAAGATCTTCTTCACCTCACTTTCACTCTTGCAGCTGAGGTAGGAAGGTGTCTGACTCACACCCCCTGCGACCAGCGCGTCCCCCTCATTAGCCACCTGCCGAGCAATGTCGCAAGCAGCTTCGTTGACTTTTTCCCCCTAAAATGAGTGAAGATGGAACACACTTACTTTTTCATGGGAAAATGAGGTAACAGTTATCATTCAAGTGTTCGCAGCTCAATTTTAGGCAAACAATTATGATTTTTTTCTGGAAAACGACAAGCATAGAGCAAGTCGGGCTGCGCCAAGTTGAGCAGCCTGCAGAAGCATCACTACAGGTGCTAACGACCAGTCTACCAGTGGTGTCAGGAGTGCAGCCCTGCGCCACAGATTTTGGGGCATGGGGGGAGCAAAGCTCTCACGAAGAGCTCTGATCTGGAGTCTTCCTCTACCCAAGCTGCACTTAGAGGAGCACTTAGCAAACAGTGATGGTTGCTGGGTTTATGTGTTTGTTTGGAAAAGGTCTCATTGTGCTACCTGTGTTGTCCAAGTTGACTGTGAAGCCCTGATCCCCCTACCTCAGCAGTCAGAGTGACTGGGATTCTGCAAGGTGTATGCCAGATGATTGGCCTTAATTATTAAGATAAAAATTCAATTACAATGACAACAGAGTTCCTGACTTTTTTTTTCTTATGTATCTCCTCAATTGTTAAATGTGTAATTATTAAGGTGTATTCTAATTATTTAGAAAATTTGAGGGGCCGGTGAGATAGCTCAGTGGTCTAAAGCACCTACTTAGGCAAGCTTAGGCAAGTGCCCGGGGAGCATGGTTTGATTTCCCGGCACCACATGCTGTGCCAACCCCACCCCCTGGGTGCTGAGCCAGCCACAAAAAAAGAAAATTTGAAAACTTGAACCTGAGCAGGGCTTGATTTCTTTTTTTTTTTTTTTTTTTCTCCCCAGTAGGGTCTTGCTCTACTTCCCAGGCTGGCCTCTCATGTCTGGGCTCCTGCACTGGTCCTGCTTTGGCGTCCTAAGTCACTGTGAGTACAGGAGTGCAACTGAGCCCTGTTGAGCCAGGGATGCAGCTCAGTGGTGGAGGCTGTGAGGTACTGTGTGATCCCCAGTCAGGCCAAAACACAGCAACAATAAAAAACTGATTTTTGCTTGTAGAAGTCCTTGTGTGTTTTGGAGTGCCAAAGGCTTGATTTGGATAATGTCAGCAATTTCCTAGCAGCTCAGAGCTGACTGCCTCAGGCAGGCTCCAAGTACCCACTTTCTTCTGCTTATGGCTTTTCCTCTGCTGTGCGTGGTAACATGTGAGTATGCAAGGGTCAGTGCGCAAGAGTCCCCTTTTTCCTCAGACCCCTCCTTGAGACTGGGGGACTAGCTGGTCACTAAATGCCTCCCCTCTAAACTGCTTCATTAAACCCTTTTCTGGTGACTTCAAAGACTTTTGCTAAACCCAGGACTAACATTCACCTGCATCACATTTCTGTTTCCAGAATGGTAGAAATAGCTCTAAGAGACTCCAGTTTTTTTCTGTGAGGGTCTGCAACCAGGTGTTTGTGTACCATGCCCTACAGTGTACCAGGCTGCATACTCACAGATATCTTCTCTGCCACATAGTTGCCCCTGTTCTCCAGCTTGTCCTCACTGGCATAGAAGGTGAAGGTCTGCATGACATTGGACCCAGCTCGCAGGAACTCTCGATGGAGCTGGCGAACTGCAGGCCACATGAGGAAGGCGGTGAGTTTGATCCACCCATTAACCCACATTTCGAAGGCCCTCAGACAACAAGCATGTGATGACTGCTTAGCTTACTAGCTGCTTGACATGGAAACATCAGGAAGACTAAGAAGAGGAGGATCTGGGGTCTCCTGGGAACTCCCACCAACCTGTGGTCTAGACTAAAGGGTGATCAGAGAAGGTGCTCACAATTCTGTATGTGCCTCTGGTGTTTGTTGTTTATTTTGTTCATTGTCAGTCTGGTCATTGATCACTGACTATATTTCAGGAGGCACTTATGGACACAAGCATGTGCAGCCATTTTCCTATGCCTGGAAAACTTTATACTCTATTGAAGAGGAGGAACAGGACAAGGGCTTCATTCTTGCCATTCCTGCTCTTCAGCACAGTACTCAAAGGTTTAGCTAGAGCAATCAGGCAAGAGACATAAATGAAAGGATTCATACAGGAAAAGAAGAGGTCAAACTATCCTTATCCACAGACTGTGTGACCTTTGTGGAGAAGATCCAAAAAGCTCTGTGAAAGAAATTCAGCAAAATCAACATGCAAAATATACAATGTACTCATTAAGAAAGCAAGAAAACAACCCCATTCACAAAATAGTTTAAAAAATTAAATACATATGAATTAACCTAACCAAGGAAGTGAAAGATCTGTATAATGAGAACTGTGGTATTCTGAAAAGAGATTGAAGAAGACTTCAGAAATGGAAAGAGGGGCCAGGGAGATGGCTCAGTAGAATGAGCACTTCCCTGGCAAGTGCAAGGGCCTGAGTTCAATTCCTGGTTCTGAAAAAAAAAAAAAAAAAGAAATGGAAAGATATCTTCTATTCCTGGATAGCAGGACCAATAGTGCAAAAATGGCCATATTATGTAAAAAAAAATGGTATATAGATTTAATTCAGTCCCAATAAGAACACTACCAGCATTCTTTATAGAATTAGGAAAAAATCACCCTAAAATTAATTTGGAACAAGAAGAAAATTACAATAGCAAAAGCAATCTTGAGCAACAGGAGCAAGGTAAGATGCACCACAATCCCAGATTTTAAATTACATTACAAAGCTACAGTGATATAAACAGCATGACACTGGCATAGAAACAGACACATGAGGCAGTGGACAGAATGGAGGATTGAGAAACATCCCCAGGCACACCCATCCATCTGATCTTTCACACAGGGGCTTCAAGCATGCTGTAGGAAAGATATCTGTTCTATAAATGGTGCTGGGGAAACTGGCCTCCCATGTGCAGAGTGCATCTAGAACTCCATTTTTCCCTCGTACTAAAGTGACATCAAAATAGCTCAAAGACCTATAAATAAAACTGGAAACAATGAATTTTTCTGGAAGATAAATAAGTAAAACTCACAACACAGACATAGGCAAAAGGTTTCTGAGCAGAATCCAGAAATGCACAGGAAATAATTAACAAGTGAGGTCACATCAAGTGAAAAAAAAATTTCTGAACAGTAGAGAAAACCACTAACACAGTGAAAAGACAGCCGGCAGAACAGGCAAGGTTTTCTCTAGCTGCTTGTTGGACTGAGGAAATTAGCCCCCCAGAGCTGGTAAGATAGCTCTGGAGACTACGTGCCTGCATAGGCAAGCACAAGGACCAGCGTTTGATCTGCAGAACCACATGCTGTGCTGGCCCCACCCTCCAGCATGCTGAGACGGCCACCAAGACGGCATGGTGGCACACAACTGTCATCCCAGCACTGGGGAGGCTTAAAACAGGAGGATCACTATGAGTCCGAAGTGTGTAGTGAGACCCTGTACCAAATACATAAAAACAAAAAGTACAGATGGCCCAGTTACATGAAGAAATGTTCATCTTTGGCCATTAGAGAAATGTGAATCCAAACAACACTGAGAGTTCTCTTACTCCAGGAAGAATGGCTGCCACCAAGAGATCAGGTAAGGACAAAAGCTGGCAAGCCTGTGGGAGAAAGGAAACCCTTCTCCACTTGGTGGGAAGGTGAGCTAGGACAGCCCCTGGAAATCAGCGGGGAGATTTCTTAAAAACTAAAATTTGAAAGTCCACTTGACACAGCTCTACTTTTTCTATTTTCTTGAAATAATTAAAGACATTATACCATAGTGACCCACGCATACTCATTTAGTAGAAGCACAGCTCATAATAGCTAAGTATTAGAAGTTGTGTATACATTCGTCACCAGGTGAATGAATAAAGAAAATGTGGTATATATATACACAGTGGAGTACTTCTCAGCCATAGAAAGGATAAACTGGAGTCATTGTAGGACAGTGACGCACCTTGAGCCCATAATACTTAGTGAAACAAACACAAAAGATAAATATTGCATGGCTTTTCCTACACGGGAAAAACAAAGTATAAATAATTTAAAGAGCAAAAAAAATTTTATGCAGTGTCTTGCTGTGCATTTCAGGCTAGCCTCAAACTCATGGTGACCCTTCTGCCTCAGCCTCCTGCATGCTGGGATCACAGGGATGTATTACTACACTTGACTTGGGCTTTTGTCTTTTTAAAATCATTTATTTATTGATTGATTTATTTGGTACAGGATCTCATTATGCAGCTCGAACTCATAGTGATCTTCCTGTCTCTGCCTCCCCAGCACTGGGATTACAGGCACAAGCTACTAAGCCCAGTTTCGGTGGCTGGCTCAGCGGGCCTGGGAGTAGGGTCGGCACAGCGTGTGGTGCAGGGGATTGAACCCCAGTCCGTGCACCAGGCAGGTGCTTAGACTGTTGAGCTATCTCCCCAGCCCCTGAGCCTTCATTTTTAAGTGAAAAAAAGAGGCCAAAAAAAGTTGTGGTATTTTTGAAGACATTTTTAAGCTTGAAACTTTTCTACAATTTTTCAAAATCATGGACACTTTCCTTCTTAGTAGGAATAGAACTCAAAATCCCCCCCACCCCTGTAAGCTTGTGGCCTTTAAGCCCAGTTTAATTAGAAACAGAACAATTATAAATATCTTCCTGGAGTTTCATGGGTCAGTGAGACATGGAATCACTCATTGGGGAGGAGCCTGTGGAATAGAAGGACTGTGGACAGACAGGGCCCCAGATGCCAGGTTTTTGGGAGTTTCACCACATGAAGATGGTCAGTGGGTGAATTTCCAGAAGGTTCATGAAAAAATCCTTGAAAAATACACAAATTGTTTCTCTATATTTTACAGTGCAGAAAGCCTAGCTTTTCTTTTTCTTGTAGCACTGGGAACGGAACCCAGGCTCTTCACTCTGAGCTCCAACCCTTTCTCTTTTTATTTTTTGAGACAGGATGTTGCCGAGTTGCCCAGGTAGACTTGAACCTGCAATTCTCCTGACTCAGCTTCCCCAGGTGCTGTGCTGGGATTGTAGGGCTGCACTGTTGTCTCGGAGGCAGGAAAAATCACTACACCTTTATCAGTTTCCAGAGGGCAACAGCCCCAAGTGGCTGTCGAGGACTCATGGCTCTGTTTCCTAGACTGAGGTGCTTCTCTGCAGAAGGCCAGCCTGAGAGGCCCCTGGGGCTTAGACATCCTCAGATTCCCAAACTGCTCTAGACCAGATTGTGGGTTTTAAGGTAGTCTCTTTTTTAGCAGAAATAGATTTCGTACTTCTGAACAAATAGATTGATACTAGGAAGAATGTATGCAATGTATGAATTATTGAAACTGTCCTACCAATTTGATTTGAGACTGTCTCATTGCTATATGCTTATCAATAAAATTATGGGAAAAGAAAAAAAAAGAAATAGATTGATAAACTCAAGAATGCTATTGGGAGAAGACACAATTTGGTCTGTTCATAGCACTTGTAATGTGCATGGTGTTGGCCAGGTACCGCCTCCCTAGCAGTGGCCTGAGGTAGGAGGGAAACAGCACTCTGTCTCACATTAGAGCCTGAGAAGTGGGGTGAGCCCAAGACACACGGCCTCGGTGCTGGAGCCAGTCTACAGCTTCCTGCTGGGCCGCATCTCACATCACCCATGTACAGCATGCGCATCCATGGCCTCTCCCAGGCTCCACGCACCTTGCTTTTCTTTAATAACTTTGAAGAGCAATGGCCCATCTTGCCTAGCAGTCACTGACCTCCTCAACTTGTAAAGTTGCCTGCGCAACCTCACACAGTGAGTTTCATTTTGTCTCTGCATCATCTGCACAGACCCTCCAGGGCCACTCTGTTGCCCGGGAAGGGCCTAGGCCCTCAGAGCTCCCTACCTTCTCTCACTCCCTCTGTCCCTCTCCTAGTCCTGCTGTGAAGGTGATGTCCTTCAGCTGGAAGCCCACACACCAGGCTTTGATCATACTGGGAGCTAGGATGTCCCAGCAGCAAAGGACAAAACCTGACACTACTCTCAAGATGAGAAGGGGGAATCCTACAAAGATGATAAACACACTAAGCCTGCAGGCCCTGTGCTCTCCCTTGAGGCTCTTCCTGCAGCTGCACAGGCTCAGCTCCCATCCAAGGAGTGTGTACCATAGGACAGGGGAGGGCACAGACCCAAACCCTGTCCTCCATTACTACTGTCCACTGCTGAGCTCCAGGACAGCTGGAGTACAGCTGGAGGCTCCCAAGTCTCCTATCCTGCTGTGCACACTTCTCCCTGCAGGGCCAGGGTCTCCGGACCCAGTCACAACAGCAGCCCTCAGGAAGCCAGGTTTTGTTCTTTGCTGCTAGGACATCCTGACCCCCAGCAGGATCAAGGCCTGGCGTGTGGGCTTCAGGCTGAAGGAGGTCTTCACAGCAAGAGATGTTCCCGTGGAGCCCAGGCTCCACCTTCCAGGGGCAAGAGGGTCTCTGATAGCAGCTCACATCACTGTTAGAAAACGCTAAGCAGCGGTGACCCTCATAGCCACCTGTCAAGGAAATGTAGTCAGCTGCCACTGTGAACAACACCCACAATGAACAGTGGGTCTCCGGCAACTGTGCTGACCACTAAGGATGGACTTTGGCCCCCAGCAGTGCTGGAGGAAGACAGTGAAAGTTTGGGAGGATAATCCTTGAGTTGAGGTCAAGCAGGGAAGTCTGAGGGTCTCCTGGGTGACACAGTCAGAGAGCCAGAAGAGCTGGAAATTGGGACTGGGACCAAGTTGTAGAGAAGCAGCATTCCAGAGACTGAGCTGTCAGGTGAGCCTGCTGGGTGACCAAGATCACAGGACGAGCTCCCTCCTGTAGGTGTGTGCCGCCCTCTTGTGGACCATACTGAGGCACTGGCCCTGGAAGCTGGCATCTGGGCTGGCCTCTCTGGTTTTTGACCTCCCCTCCACCTGGCAGGGATTTGTGTTGAGAGAATGGAAGGAAGGAGCCTGAGTGCAGGTGAAGATTGGGCAGATAGTAGACCCCGCCTAGCTCGGCTCAGGTGACAGGAAGGAATGAATACATGGCCACACTTGGTGGAGTCAGTGATGCTGCTGGGTGCCACTGGCTATAGATGAGGACCATGTGGCCACCTAGCAAGCAAGGGTCAGGGACACTAAGCTGGTGTAGGTGAAGATCTTGCCCAGGATGGGAACAGGAGTCCCAGGGCAGGAGGAGAACAAGGTGGGCAGTGGGGCACTGAGCTAGGGGACCCCCTGGTGAGGGTAGGTGCTCTGCTGAGGGGATGCAGGCCCTGACAGCCACAGTGGGAGACAGGTCATTTGCAGTCACTGGCCAGGGAGAGGAGGCCAAGAGGAAGACTGTGAGCCAGGTTCCAGGCAAGGTCCAGGAGGTAGACAGTGGACAGCGTCAGAGAAAGGCATTGTGTGGTCTGCCGTTCCACAGTCACACCTCAGTGTGCCCAGCAGGCCACAGCCATCTGGGAAAACACAGCCCTCCTGCCTCAACTGAAGCAATGCATGAGGACACAGAATAGAGCTGGGTACCCACCTGCCTCAGGGTGCTCCACGGCAGCTTCTGGGGTCCAGGGTCCTGCCTTAACATAGCCCCTCTTCTCCAGGGCAAAGACAAAGCCCCCATCTCCAATCACCACTTCCCCGGCGTCCAAGCGCTCTAGGATGCCCTGCAGTGACCGATGAGGGGGACAGGAATGACTGGAATTGTTATAATTTTCTACTTGCAGTATTTGTGCTGACATATTTTTGAGAATTATGATTTCTTTAGAATTACCTAAAAACACACATGTGTGATACATAGCTCCCTGACAGAATGTCCCTCTAATGGAAACACATGCACCCTGTTATGAGCTGCGTGTCCTGAAAAACACACCACAGGGTGTCCCTGGCTGTGACTGAGTGGGCACACAGGGCCTGGGCAGGACCTAGCACCACAGAAGGAAAAAGAAGGACTCGGAAAGCTGGGAGTAGAAGGCTATATTGCAAGAGCCATTTTCTGAGGGATTAAATATTTGTTACAAAGCCTCAAATCTATACTTATTTCTTTTTTCATTGAAAATTGTATTATTTTTTAAAGTTGTACATACTTATAGTGTGATAAATTGGTCCCTAAATAAAACCTGTAAGTGTAGGAGCCCAGGTTCTCACATCTTTGTCATGTCTCTTTTATGATTTCTTTATGTTGGGACCTTCAAACTCCTCTCACCTAGTTCTTTATAAAACATACAATAAGTCACTTTATAGTTGCCCTACTAAAGCCCGCTTTCCTTCCTGGCCATCTTGGGGTTCAAACCCAGGACCTACTGCATGCTAGGTAAGTGCTGTACTACTGCACCGCACCCTCAGCTCTGAGGTACATGATTCTTTTCCTTTTCTTTTAATTGTTTTTTAATTTATTCTTTATTTTTCGGTATTTTTTAAAACAAGGAATTTGTCTACATGCACTCCTGTGAACAAAGGTCTCACAAATTATTTTGACTTGGGTGAAGTCATTATGACATCTTGGTAGTTAGCAGTTCTTACTGAACATATATTTGCTTTTAAACTTTGGTACCACGTTTTAGCATAGCCTAGCTGAGAATCAGATTTGGTGGCTGGACGGGCAGCGTGTTGTTCACTAACCACAAGTCTATTGAGCAATGACACCTGCATATACTGGTTCTTAGAAGCAACTACATTTTAAAATTACCTGCAAAAAATAGTTACCTGGATGTCCGAATTATCTGCTCTTATGCTGAACAGATTTTTAAAAAGTGGAACATGTTACAAAACATTTTTGCGAAAAGATATTACAAAACAGTTGGGGAGATAGCTCGGAAGAGCAAGTACCCGGGTTCGATCCCCGGCACCACACATCGAGCCATTCGGGCCATGGAAACCTGGCGTGGTGGCGCACGCCTGTAATCCCAGCACTTTGAAGACGGAGACAGGAAGATCATTATGAGTCTGAGCTGCGTAGGGAGACCCTGTATCAAATAAATCAATTTTTAAAAAAACAGCATATGTGATATTGACCCATTTTGCTTTAAAAAGTAGATATTTGCCCAGCCAGCAAACTGGCAGAAATGTATACAAAAATATAGGAGGCGCCATTCTCTGTGCTTTTACCCGCTGTGTATAAGGAGCACATTAGCTCTGTGTTTTACAGTCAGACTTGCAGATGCGTGATTGTCCACGCGTATACGCTGAGCCGGAAAGTTACGGAGGAAACCTTTCCCGTGACGTCTGCGGGCGCCGGGATAACTCCTTTAAATGTTCATTTCTGAGTTTAGGTTTGGAGCGTGGCCTGGACACGCTGGCTGCACTTGGCGAGGTGGCGCGCACACTCAGGGAGACGACCCGCAGCGGTCGGCGTGCGCGGTCCTGGGCTGGCCGGAGGCCGTGCTCAGCCTCTCCACCCACGCGCTTTAACCCCACTAAAGACTTGTGAGGGCGGCCAGGGAGGCGCCCCGCGTCCGCGCCCCTGCACGGGCCTGGGGCCAGGGGGGCGGTCAGGTCGGTGCGGGCTGTCCCTTGTCCTGTCGCGCGCCTAACTGGGTTTCTTCCTAGGGGAGCCCGCCGGGACAGCCCAGAAAGACCCCCGTCTCCAGGTAAACCTAACAAGTGCTGGGAGCAGCTCCGAGCGGCCCGGGCTCGATCCAGGAATGTGGCACGGCCTTAGCGGAGGCCACGCTGTCCCTGTGGCCGTGCTGCAGTGACTTCGGCCACGCGTAGTAGGTCCACCCTGTCCCACCCCGCCCCTCACCCGGAAGCCGCGGCACCTGCTCTGCGCCGGGTCCACTTGTCCTGCAGCCCCTCCGCGCCCGCCGGGGGGCGCTCGCCGTCACTGCCTGGCTCCCCCGGACTCACCTTTCGGGCTTGCTTGCCCCCGACGGGCGCCATCGGTGCGCCGGAGCGGATGAAACCGAACTGAAGTGGAGCGGGCGGCTCTGCTGGGAGCGCACCGTGCAGCACGCTTTATACAGGGCCGAGCGGGGCGGCGGCGCGGGGAGGAGGAGCGCTCAGCTCGTGTGTGTGTGTGTGTGTGTGTGTGTGTGTGTGTGTGTGTGTGTGTGTGTTTGCAGGGGTGGGGTACAGCGGGGCGAGCAAGGTGACAACAACGTCCTGCTCTCTGCCCAGAAGCCAGCAGCCTCGGGAGAGTCCCAAGGGCCTCATGAAAGTCCACGTACTGAAGTACTCTTCGAGGCTAAGGACCTGAGACTATTGAACCGGGAAGAGATGCCGGGACGATGACCGCAGGGATCTCCCGAAGACCCGTGCCCCAGTGTGACACGCAGGCACACAGCAGCCAGAACGCGTACAAACAGCACCTGTGCAAAATTTCGCGCTGAACGAGCTCGAAATGACCTCGCCACCGAAGGTTCCTCGCGGTTTCTGAGAGTATAGCAGGGTCCAGTAAGCAGATCTTTGCAGCATTTAACCCGAAAGTGAAAAATACTTTGGAGACCACAGAATTTAGTGTGGAAATTAAACGTAAGCATCAGAGGAGCAGGAGGGACCTAGAGGTTAACTGCAGTTACTTGTTGGTATAATTAGTGCTTGTTTTTACCTTGTTCTTCCTGCCTTTACTGTATGTCCCAAACCATTCTTATGCTGAAAACATATTGACTTTAAAATAATGAAAACATTAAAGAATACATAACCTACAGAACAACATAAAATCTGAGACAAAGTTCAGAACCTGTTGCCCAATTACAAAAATGAAAAGAAATTCTCTATGAAACAATAACTTCTTTTTCAATACATGGAGAGAAAGGAATTATCATAGCAAATGATGGACTAATAAAAACAATTATTGAAATGATGTGTGTGTGAAATAAAACTGAGAAAGTAACCACGTATGGTGCCACATGTCTATGACCTCAGCCTCCAGAGGCTGGAGAGTCACCAAGAGTTTAAGGTCAGCCTGGGCTACATAGCAAGACTTTGATTTGGGTTGGCTTTTTTTTTTTTTTTTTTCGTTTGGCTTTGGTTTTTTGAAACAAACAACCAACCAAAAAGCCCTATCAGCCTCCCTCAAAATGAGACCAAACCAAGAAAATAAAATCCTTTTGCTTCTGAACAGTATCTCCAAGTTCAAAAAGATGAGAGAGAGCAAGAGAGAGAGCCCATATTGCAATTCACATAATCTTTTACCTCAACACATTCCCTGAACACTTCAGGGACCCTAGATTTTCAATAATTAAGGCATTGTCTGGGTAGGTGACAGTTTAGGTAGTTAATATGTTAACTAGTTCTGGTATTAACCCGTGCAGAATTAGTGAACCCCACCGACTCAGGAGCCCTCTGTGGAGGTGGCCAGCTGTGCGAGTGGGTATCAGGCACTAGAGGGCGCCAGCAGGCTCGAACAGTGAATCAAGTGTCAAAGCCCAAGGTCCGGATTTCACAGGTTCTTTCAAGTTCAGCAACACTTGAGAAATTTGAAACTAGTAGCATTCAATTTAAAACAAATTACGAAATTTTAGTAGGTAGCTGTCTCAGTCACTGTTTTCTCATTGCTGGGACAAATACCTGACACTCAAAATCAGGGAAGGAAAGGTTTATTTAGCTCACAGTTTATGGAGGTTTCAGTCCATACTTGAGTGGCTCCAAGGCGGAGTGGTGTAGGGCAGAGAGTAACCTCTCATGGCGATGGCAAAGAGCAAGAGAGCAAAGGGAGTGGCAGCAGCTCAGGCAGCCAGCTGGCCTCTCTCCCCTCTTTACATTTTAATGCAAATTAACTACCCCAGGGTGGGTGCAGCACCCACACCCACAGTAATCAATCATAAACTCCAAAAGCCCCCCTGACTGCATTAGGCTTTGGGGGGGGGGTATTGGGAGGGATAACTAGACACAAGCCATAACAGTAGCATAGACATACAGCATTAAAAAAAAAAAATCCTTCCCAGCTGTGGCTGTAGTTTAAGTCCCTTCCCTAGAAATAACCACCACTACCTGTCAGCTCTGCATTTCTGCATTCAGGGAATTTGATGCCCATGGATGTGTCCGCAACTACATTAAACCTGGGAGGTCTGTGGCTGTAGTTCAGTGGTAGAGCACTTGCTAGCATGCTTGATGTCCTGGTTCAATCTCCAGCACTGAAAAAAAAAAAAAAAAAAAAAAACCTTTTTGAGTGTAGTTGTAAATGTGTTTGAACATAGGAAACTTCAGCTATTAAACTGTTACCACCCCTACCTTTTCCAAAATGAATTATATATTCTGGCCTAGAGTGCATGCTTATAATCCCATCACTCCCGAGGCCGAGGCAAGAGAATTATCAGTGACTTCAAGCCCAACCTGGGCTACAAAGAGGGTTCAAGGCCAGCCTGAACTATAATGTGAGTACAAAACTAAAGATTTTTTTTTTCTTTTTGTGGCCCAAGCTAAAGCAATTTCTTAATAACAATTTTTTTTTCAAAACTGATTAATAGGACAGTTTCGATAGTCAATACACTGTACATTGTTAACTTCTTAGTGGTTATCCATAGTACAAGATGCAGACAGGATATCCTGTCCAAACACTATTAGTACAAATCTTTCTTCTCATTGAATTAAGCAAAAGTAGCTGTATATCTACCCTATTCTGCATATACAGATACAAAATGGTCCTTCCTTTGTATCCCTTTTTTTTGTGTAGTCCTGTCAGAAATGGGTATTCCATTGGCATCTAAATACTATAAGTGCTTGAATTCAGCAAAACAATCCAACACAGTCCAGCAGTCCACAATAGCAGTGGGTTATCTGCAGAAGTTGTTGATTTGAGCCTTTCACAGCTCAGCATATTAATATGGCTTTACTTTATATACCTCAAAACTAAAGATTAATAGGTGGCTGTTCAAATGTTTTTGTTTCTCCTCAGCCTGTCTACTTGCTGCCCACATCCCCCACCCCGAATAGGTCCATTAGAAGTTAGCACTGACCCACAGTGGCAGGTAGGGGCTCAGTCAGGCCATGGTTCACTTGTGCTTCCTTTGCGCAAGGCCTCTGCGACCTTTCGGAACACAGCGCTTCTCACCCCACACCACCCGGTGATCACGGCAGGTGCCTCTCCTTACACCCAAGAACCCTAAGGACAGGCAGTTTGGGCTGCTATCTTAAGCCACGAGGCCATGGAGTGCAGCCTGGCATGGAGCAAGCAGGCCCAGCCACTGTCGCTTCCCCGCATGTGGAGATGTCCGGGGTTACAAATAAAGCTGTGGTGCAGGGGAAGGAAGGTGGGAGCTGAGATCTTCGGAAAGGCCATTACTCTGCATCCAGCATGGGCTCTGCTCCCTGGGACCCCTCGAAAGCAAGCGTGAAGTCACGCCCGCTGCACAGAGCTGATCAGTGCTGCCCGCTGGCCAGCAGGGAGCATCGCCACTCAGCAGCACTGGGCGCCCTCCATCCCTGCGCCGCCCTGGGTGGCAGTGTGGCTCGCTGGTCAGCGCACCCTTGTGCCACCCTAGAGTCACGAACAAATGAATAAATGAAATGGAGTGGGACTGGCTTTAGAATAAATGTGTCGTCCAGCTATAAGCGTTGCAGAAGTTTCTATTTAACACTGCACTCGATGTGTTATGTTTTTACACAGAACGGTATGTGCAAACGGGTGATGTGGGGTGTTGCCAACCTCTGTTCCCTTTGCAAAGCCAGTGGTTTTGTAAGCCTGAGTGTGAAGCCCTTTGTGTGGCGCCTTGCCCTCCCCACTCCCAGCCTTAGGGTGCCATTCTGCGCACTGTTACTGCCTGCTTCCTCTAAACTGAAGCTCTGCTTGAGGCTATCAGACACCTGCCCACCCAATCTCCAGCAGAAGGCGTTCCACGCCTTGTATTGACCTACTGTCACTACCTGCAGTTATTTTCGGTGGCTACCTATAGGCTGCTACTTCACATGGGCCCAGCGGGTGGATTTTTCTTTGAAAACCCTTGAAACCCAGCTCCTCTCACGGCGTCGGCAACCCTGTGCGCTCTGACAACCACACTCAAACATTTCGCCAACACCCGATGTATCAGGCACGTCCCAGACCCGTCTGCCTACAAAAGGCCTTGTCTTTTTTGGTTTCTTTAGCTGTACTGGGGATGTGGTTTTCAAAGCAAGGACATGTAGACTTAAGCACCTTGCTCAGGGCTTGCATGTCAGAGGAAAGTCATTACTAGTGTGGAGTCAAGAGTCTTCTGCATACACACGTGTGTGCACCACACTGCAGTTTCCTCATTTCCTAATGCGCTGCACCCCAAGGGGATTCAATAACAGTTTTGATGCGATAACCAAAAGTTTAGTCCATGCAAAGCATTTCTGATACATGTTAGGGTTTACAAGACTACTACCAGTGGCCCAGCCCTCTGTGGATCAAGAAAAACAGTAACACATTCTAAGTAACACATTTCTAAGTAACACATTTTTATCTACTCGCTACTGGACCTCAAGAACATTGGGAGCATACTTTTCAAGTCAGTACATACATGTCATAAGAACCCTCAATCCTGGAAAAGGGATGCACATCATACACGACTCAGTTTCAACATTATGGATTGGTAATCTACCTGCTTTAAAGAATCTCCAAAAGAAGTTACTACTTCTCAAACCCAGCTTTCAAGGCTGTCCTACACATCTACTGGGATTAGTAAAATGAAAAATATACCCAGGTGTGGTGACACACACATGTGATCCCAGCACACTGGGAAGCTGAGGCAGGAGGGATTTCAAATTTGATTTGAGCCCAGCCTGGGCAACTCTGAATCTGAGTGATAACCTATAAAAAACAAAACAACAACAACAACAAAAAAAAAACACCAAAAAACAACAAAAAAAAAAACTTCTCAGCACCACAAAAATAAAAATACAATCACTAAAATGTCTAGGAGGATGGAACTGGAACTCGAACTCATCAAAGGTACAAGTGAAAGTTGATACAACAGTCCAGAATAAAAGTTTGGCCGCGTCTGTGAGAGCTGTCCATGCCTGTATGAAGCAGTCCTATTCCTGAGA